GTTCAGAGATCAAGAAAAAGGAAAAACAAGAAGAGAGAAAACTTTACAAATAGAGAGGTGATCCGGGGAGAATCCCAGATCGGAAAAGTTCGAGAAGAGAGAGGAATCAGAGTGCCCCAAATTTGCAACTCGTGTCGTGTGCAAATAAATAATGTTATGCGTATGGAAAATTAGTTGATGATTATGATCATGATTAATGATTATGTGTAATTAATTATGGGAATTGCTGAATAGTGTGGGATAAAAAAAAACTACAAAATACTTGGGCATAAGTGATTCTGTGATGGAGTGTCGATAATAAGTTATGGGCTATGTTCGTAGAAAAACAAATTTTCTGTACCACTATGATATAATGCCCCCTTAATTATTCAATAATTTATGTTTAGATAGTCGTGGTTTTGCCGGTAATAGAGTTGTTTTGGAAAGTAGATTAAAAATTAATTTTTTTGATTTTTTTATAATTTTTTTTAAAAAAAACATGTAAAAAAGTAGAAAGATAATGTGATTAAAAATAAAAAAAAAAATTACTTTTAACCTCTTGTCAAAAGAGATCATAGATTGGGAGAAAAATTATTAGATACTCTGCTAATATTTGAGTGTTTGGAAACTTTGTGTATTAGTTAAAAGGGGTTATTACTTGACAGTGTCACAGTGGTATTAGGAAAAAAAATATAAATTCAGGAAAAAATTTATAAATCTAATTATTAATATATATAAAATTTCTCCATAATTTGTAATTATTTTTTTTTACACCCCATTGATGTGATATTTTTCCTAATTAAAAAAGTTATCATTTTTTAAAATTTTTTTATGATTTTATTTTTAAAATTATCTTCAACTTTTTTACTTATCAAATTGATACAAGAGATAAATTATAAACTACATACTAATTTGTTCTAAAATTTAACAATTGAAACTTGATGTGCATAAATTATAAACTACATAGTAATTTGTTCTAAAATTTAGTTAGTTATATTGCTACAATAATATAATATGAGATTTTCACTAATTGATAATATTATTGCCTAATATTATCTTATATTCAACATTTACTTGTATTAACCAATCGGGTTAACTTGTTGGCTAAAATCCTTAGAGCAATTCCTTTCAAACCTTCAATCTTAGAGATGTCAATTTTTTTTAAAGACTTAGTGCAAATTGACATATGTCAATTTGACATGGATGCTCTCTACCTAATATGCCATATATTATTCTATTATTTTTAAAATTTGAATTTTTTTATTTTACTAATTAAAATAAATTTATTTTTAAAAGAGGTTTGATGCCATTTAAATAGTATTTTATTTTTTGAAAAATTCTATATTTATAAAATACTTTGTTAACAAAATTCAAAATTTTTATTCATTGCTACTTAATCATTTTTTTTAATTTGGTGAAAAAAGAAAATTACAATACATATTTAAAAAATAAAATAAAATTGACAATACATGAATATCATTATAAATCACATGCTACGATTGCCTGAAAATGTTATAGTGTGAATGATTAAAAAAATATTTTTCTCAACTCCAAATTTATAGATGATAAAATAAAAAATAATTAAAAAATAATTTATTTACAACAGTAATTACCGTACATGACAACACAAGTTGATTTTCAAATAACAGCAATGATTCAGAACATTAATTTTGCTGATCTAAGAGCATCCGCATCAGCCTCAGCAAATTTTCAATCAAATTATAACTGAAAAAGCCATTTTCATATTTTAGCTAGTCACCTACTGCATCAAACTCTCTATTTAATCCTATTAAAAATTTGTTATTCTTTTTTTTTTTTATAATTAAATTGATGACCTATCAATCAAACAATTATTATGTTTTACAAAAGATAAAACTGGAGGAAATGTAAAGAAAAAAAAAAAATTGCCGTTGACCGGCGGGTTGACCGGCCGAACGTCCGGCCGAACTTTCGGGCGGACGTCCCGTTACACCCAAATCACGTGTTTTAGCGATGAACAGTTCCTCGCTTTATCAGACGAGTTACTGTAGCAAATTTAACAAAAAGTTAATTTAACAAAAATTTGCTGAGACTAATGGAGGAAGAATGTGATGATTTGTTATTTATAATTCAACTTTTTGTTATTTTAAAGAAACTGATGCTGATGCTCTAATGGAGCAATAATAACATGGAAAGGAGAAAAAAAAAATTAAGACCAAAACATCACATCACAAAAGGTGGGGTCCACTGCCAGCTCATTAGAGTTGGTTTTAGAGCTCAAGAATTAAAGTTCCAAAGCATTTTTCTTCAAATAATATTAATCGTTGGTAAAAATAACCCCTGCACAACGTGGGAATTGATAACCACAAATTGTGCATTGTCTTCTTTTATTTGAAAAAAACAAAAGAAAAGTAAAGGCATGAAGTGGGGAACATGTCAAAATTAACATGAAGATGTGATGCCAAAGCCATGTAAGCTTTTGACATATCGGGTTGAGTTCATTCTTGCAGCCTAAATAGAACTGTTGGACTGCCATGTTGAAATTGACATATTGGGTGGAGATGCTCTTACACCTCATTAGGAGGTTCATGATTCGAATATTCTCACATTACAACAATTTACACTTTTGGCGATCAAAATTGGCGATTAAAAGAAATTTAGCCAAAAGTTGTACAATAGATGACAAAAAATTAAAATGGTCGGCGTTGTTCAGGATTTAGCTACTTAATTTTTTAATCAAGGTATATTAATCATTGTCGACTAAAAAAATATTTAGTCGCCAAATATGCCACAATAGAAGACAAAAAAATATTGGGCTGTGTTAGTTTAAGTTTTAGGCTACTAAAACCTTCAGCGACTAGATATTGACTTTTGGTGACTAAATTTTTTTTTTTAGTGTACATGTGTCTTATTCCTCAAGTTTGGAAGTTTTTTTGTATTAATTGTGTTGTGTTTGATTTTCATAATGATTTTTTTTCTTAGATAGGCATAGTGATTATCATTAAGGGTAAATTATAAATAGATTTTAATAGTTGTGTCACGACCCCAAACCGCCCCTAGTAGTTTGGTGCCGTGATGGCCAGTAATCCGCAATTACCGAAGGCCAACTTTTCAAAACTTAACACAATCAGAGTATAGTAATGATCGGGGCTAACAAATGCGGAAGCGATAATTTAGATACAAGTAGTCCAAAGAGCTGTGCGTAGATCAAAGCAATGCCAAACATTTTCAATTAACTTACAACTTGAATACAACAAGTAAAATTTCATATCACATCTTGATCAAAAGGCTTCTCGAGCTGTGACGATTTTTTTGCATATGTTGCTAAAAATTGACAATTAGTAACTTTTTTTTTTTTTTATCACGGATTTTATAAATTATCGCTAAAACTTACAATTAATAATGTTTTTGTGATGAATTTTTGTACTTGTCACAGAAAGTTGAAAATTAAGGACCTTTTTTGTGACAATTTTTTTTTTAAACTATCGCTAAAACTTATAATTAGTAACATTTTTTGTGACAAAATTTTCAAACTGTCGCTAAAAATTAACAATTAGTGACTTTTTTAATAGTGTTTGATGAAAAATGATATTAATTATCATATGATATATTGAATGATAAGTCCCCTTATTATTAATTTTAGTCAAAACCTTTCAATTGGATCCTTATTTGGCAAAAATGATAATTCAATTTGTTTTGCTTCATAAACACCTTAAGGAGGAGGCGCATAATTGAGTACGGACATAGTAAAATTTTCTTTTTTTTTTCTTAGATAATATTGCCCATGCATATATATATATATATATATCACAGAACTCTTTTGACAAGGACCATAAATATTTATTTTATACGAGTTTAAAAATATTGTGTATGTGTAGTTTTGGTTGATTCATTTAGTATGTACTCTGTTTTTTGTAACAGTAAAATACTACTGTGAATTAGAGTAAGAAAGAGTAACATGTTATTATTTACATCAATTTTGATAATATTTTTTTTATTTTTTTTTTTGAAGAATTTTATAGTCAACATAGATCTTATTTGATAGATCATGATAAGAGAATTTTTAAAATACTAATATTTTAAAAAATTGACATTTAAATCAAAAGTTATATTATTTTAAATATAAAATATAAAATTACTAACTAATTATATTTTGGTGATAATGTAGTGGTATGTGTTAGATCTTTCTAGAAAGACTTTTTATGGTTATTCTTAACACATTTAAATTTTATTATGAGGGGGTTTTGACCAAATCTCTCATGATTTGGACCGCTAAGGTTAGACAGTTACGTGATTTACTACAAGTTGTCAAATGATTGGATGTCAATGATTTTTTTAGAGAAACTAAAATAAGAAACAAAGTGCATGCATGGAAGATAGCATTTGATAATAATAAAATCAACCCTATATTTATTTATCAACAGAAGATAGCATTTGATTAACCTAGTTTACAAAATACAAATTATTATTATTTTGCTTGTAATGCAAGCAAACTTATTACTAAGAAAGAAATTCATCTTAAACCAAACACTACCCAACTTCAAAAACATAGTTGGCTGAGTCTCAAAGCCCTATATATTACTCACTTCTCGCTTTACTTTCTCACATTGTTTCCATAATCTAATCTCTCTCATATTCGTAGTATTTCCCAAGAAAGAAAAAAAAAATCTTTAGTCTTTCTGTTACTTTTTTCAACTATTTTATTTCTCAAGAAAACTCAGCAATGGCAGCCAAGGTTACAGTAGGATACAAATTTATACCAACGGACAAAGAACTTATTTTTCATTATCTGAGAGAAAAGGCCAAAGGACAACCATTACCGGTAGAGGGTTTAGTGAATGAATGCAATCTCTATGACGTTCAAAAACATAGTTGACTGAGTCTCAAAGCCCTATATATTACTCACTTCTCACTTTACTTTCTCACATTGTTTCCATAATCTAATCTCTCTCATATTCGTAGTATTTCCCAAGAAAGAAAAAAAAATCTTTAGTCTTTCTGTTACTTTTTTCAACTATTTTATTTCTCAAGAAAACTCAGCAATGGCAGCCAAGGTTACAGTAGGATACAAATTTATACCAACGGACAAAGAACTTATTTTTCATTATCTGAGAGAAAAGGCCAAAGGACAACCATTACCGGTAGAGGGTTTAGTGAATGAATGCAATCTCTATGACGATCAAGAACTGTCGAAGATATTCAGCAAAATAAGAACCAAATCGAAGTTGTACTATTATTTCACGGAGTTGAAGAAGAAGAATGGGAAAGGAAAAAGGATTGATCACATGGTAGGGATGGGTACGTGGAAGGGACTTGACAGAGGCAAGCCTATTCAAGACAATGAAGGAAGGCTTACTGGACGCAAGCGAAGTTTCGATTATATCAACAGAGAATCAAGTGAACACAGTGTGTGGGACATGAAGGAGTATAGTCTTGACGGTGTTTCTCTGGAAGATGATCAACTGATCAAAGTGAGTTCTTTCTCTCTAGTTCTATGTTTCTGATTAATTATTGTTTTCTGATTTTATTTGTCATATGTTGTTGTTGTTTTGTTCAATGAAAGAGGTTTTGATCATCATCCATATGTGGTAGTTTCAGGATCAAACTCACACACATAACTTATCACATGACAGAACAAAGAGATTGTACAGATCGTGATATATAGGTCTTATCACATGATAGAACGAAGATATAGTGCAGATCATGATATATAGGTCTCATGATGTCTCACAGAGACAGATCATTCACATGTTTAGATGATTTATGTTTTTATTGTTGTTTTCTAATGAAATTTCTTAGGGGTTATGGGTGTCTGTCACACACACATAAATGTTTTAAAAAAAAAAATAGAATTTAAGTTTTGTAACAAAATGAATCCTTAATTTTTAATTTTTTTTAAAAATTTAAACCATAATTTTTTGATTTATTTTTAATTTAAATTATTTTTCTCTATTTTCATTAAGTAAAATTGTCAGAAAAAGTTTATCTTAATTATTAAACTCAATCAAAAAGGGTTTCACCAACATTTTTGTTTTCTTTTTTTAATCTTTACTCAAATTTATGATCGAAACACAATCTAAAAGAATAATATAGGAAAACAACACTTGCATGGTTTCAAAACTTTGTAACTTTTACTATAAAAAAGCTTAAAGACAACTTTAACAACTTTAGTCACCTTCCCAAATAGCATAAATCTTGAAAATTTGAGGAATAGACAAGACATGGTTTTTGTTTGTTGGCAGCAATTTAGAGCCCAACTCTACAACTCCTGAACCCTTTTATTTTTTTCACCTCTGTTTTTTTGTCCCTCATTTGCAAAACTCATATCCATCCCATCTTTCTAGTTTAAAAATTTTAAAAAAAGAAAAATGGTTTCGAGCATGATTTAATGCAAGATTTTATTTGTACTCAGAGTTACTATGAAACACTATCTAAACATTTGAATGAAGCATTTGGTTATCTTTCTTGTACTTATTATTATTATTTCATGCCTAAAATTGGGGTAATTTACATTTGTGATGACATTTGTCTTTGCTAGTTTTAACTTTTCATGTTAAATTTTGAAGTTTTTTTTCGAAAGTCATTTACATATTTTTGCATGTTACAAATAATTACTAAAAACTTATATTTATGGTTGCAGGACAAAAACTACGTCCTATGTGTGATCAAAATAAAGTGTAGCAGGGCAGAAATCGAACAACAAGGGCAACCAGTTGATGATTCCGACATTGATCATTACTCCTTTGAAGACAACCAACCTACTCCAGTTATACAACAAGAAGAGCAACCTACTGCAGCAGTTATACAACAAGAGCTAGCTCAAGCTGATGATGATGACCACTTTGATTGGGAACAGTTTGTTTGGGATTCCACTTTGGCACCTACTCCAGTTATACAACAAGAAGAGCAACCGACTGCAACAGTTATACAACAAGAAGAGCAACCTACTGCAGTAGTTATACAACAAGAGCTAGCTCCACCTGATGATGATGACCACTTTGATTGGGACCAGTTTGTTTGGGATTCCACTTTGGCAGCTACTCTAGTAATACAATAGCTAGATGCTGTTGATGATGATCTGTTTGATTGGGACCGGTTTGACTGGAATTCCACTTTGCCATTACTATAGTGAATTGGATACACTTTGTTTCCTATTTTAGTCTCTCTTCAGAATCATTGTCATTCAATTATTGTATTTTGCTACTAGTAGTAAATCACTTACGTCTAGTTTTAGTGATCTGACTGAGTAACTGTTTTTTTATTTGTTATTAATTAATTAATGATATTACAATCAACCCAATTCATTATAATCGTTATGAAAATCAAATGCAACACAATTAGTGGTGTTTTGGGAAGTGCATTTTTTGCCTTTTTCTTTTGACTTATTTTTCATCTTTAGTGAACTTTTTTTTAAATTTTTCAAAAAGTTTTAGGTTTCTAAATTTAGCTTGACAAGACGAATCGAAAAATTATAAATTGTTTTAGAAAATAAGACAAAAATAAGCAATCTTTTTTGTCTTATTTTCATTTATAGTGATTTTTTTCTGAAATTTTTCAAAAAAATGTACTTTTTAGATTCGTCTCGACAAGACAAACGGGAAAAGTAAAAATTTAGACATAATTTAAATTAAAAAAAATCACTAAACACAAAAAATCGAAAAAGGAGATGACTTGTTTTTGTTGCCAAAATGGACCTTAATACAAAACAAACTTTCAAACTTGAGGAATATGACACACATATAACGATAATATTAGGTGACAATATTACCAATTAATGAAAACCCATCAACTTTCATCTAAAATTTCTTATTAACATGTTTTTTGGGTCCATAAAAAAACATCTTTTGTGATGGCACCATCGATCGTTGCAAATAAATTTGTAGCGACAACAAATCAATAGGAAATGTGGTTGTCACGAATAGATATAGCAAAATGAGGTTCATTTGTTTCTCCAAAATCCACATTTTGCACTGTATACATCATGGGAAGAGGGTACTAGTGGATGCAATAGAGGAGTGGGAATGGCAAGGTTGGGAAGAGGGAAGAGGGTGTTGGTGGTGGCAGCGGAGGGGTGAGGGTTGGAGAGGGGATGGGGGAGGGAGAGAAGGTTGTTGGTGGTGGCAGTTGAGGGGTTATGGGAGAGGGTGATGGTGGTGATAGTGGAGGGGTGACAATTGGAAGAGTCGTGGAGGGGGGAGGAGGGTGTTGGTGATGGCATTGAGTGGTTGGAGAATGGGTAAAGGGTGTTGGTTGTGGCAATGGTTTAGCTCATATGTAAATAATTCCTTGTCAATAGAAATAAATACATTACTTTTTGTAATTTATGAATTGAAATGCACTATCAAGCTTGTTAACGGTTTAAATTAAAAGACTAAAATACTTTTATAATCATATCATCAATACCAATACATATTCAAATACCCATTATTTAAACCTAAGTTGACACCATACATTATACCTACTACTGTTTCATTTCCCCCACACTCAACCATGGTTTGAATTCCCTGACTAAAATTCATCCTACTACTATGTTTCACTTCCTCCCACACCACAACCGACCATTGTTCGAATTCCCTGACTAAAATTCATCCTATAAGAGCGAGTCCAAAAGTCCTTTCTTAGAGAGGTTCCTTGTTAAATAGAATTTTAAGCAAACCAAAAAAAAAAAAACCCAAAATGCATCAAGCACTCTCTTTATTTATTTTTTCCTTTTTAAATTTACTGTTTTTGCCAGACAGGCAAAGCATGAGAGGAATCATATAACCACCACTTCATACTCAAAAGCATTTAGATTTGGACAAATATTGGGTTTAATGCTAAGTAACTTCACATATTATCAAATTAGAAACAAAGAAACACTGATAAAAGACATTGTCCCATACCTAAATAACCAACAACATATAACCATGTAGCTACAAATTTCCTCATAAAACATTAATATAGCTCAGTTTCCTTATAGGTGTGAATCACACAATCAGAAGTTGGGTATGAGATACAAGTCAACACATACCCCTTCTTCATCTGCTTATATCAAGGAACGATCCATCTAATTGGTCAACAGATCCAGAAATCGCCAGCCCGACACACGTAGAGCACACCCCTGCCCTGCACGAGTATGGCAACTCAAGTCCTTCATTTTCAGCTGAGTCAAGGATGTATGCATCGTCAGGAGCCTCAAACTCACTCTCTTGGCCATCCGATCCAATTAGCTTCACTTTGTACACTGCCATGGCCGATACTTTGAAGGAGGATGAGGATTTCAAGCCAAATGCTTTAGAAACACTCTTAAAGGAACACAAAGACTGGGGATTCTTAATCAATGCACAAGATTTGGTTGTGGGTGCACTTTTAAATATGCAAGGAGAAGAAATTGTCATAGTCGACATGTTTAGACCTAAATTTGCAGCAAGAAATTAGTCAAAATATCAAAGCATATAAACATTTATTAATTGTTACATTGCAAACAAGGACCAAGGCCATTGGCTGATATAAAGTATGAAATGTACGTAAAGAAAAGGAGAAAAGTTAGTGGTTCATGGCTCTTCACCTAAGCTTCCATCTTTAAGTTAATGAAAACAGTACAAAACTAGGTTGATTACTATACAGAGGTGAATCTCTGTTTAATTCGATGGAATGGAATACAAATCTGTGTATCCAATGAATTGGGGATTGCCATGGACAGAAATCTAGCTACTACAAGTGAATTGGAAATTTATGCCAGAAGGTGCCATTAGAAGAACCACACTGGCCCATAGCACAACAAGTGAATTGCTTCCACATTTACATAGAACTACGAGTAACTGTAGAAGTGTCACCATGTTAACTTAAAAGGCTAACTATGATGCTAACTCAAGAAAACAATTTCACTAGAGTGAATTGGATATTAAGGATATGCACCAGAGTGTTAACTCATATACATAGAACAAACATAACAAAGAATACTACTACATGAAAACTTGTTGCAAATTGGGGTTTTTGTCATCTTCGAGAGCTTTGACATCACAAACAAGCTATTCATGCATACAAGAACTTTCAAGACACAAAACAAAGAGATGGAAGAATATGATATGTATGACTGGGTGTGAAAGAGAGAGAGAGATTGAGATTGAAATTTCAGAAGGAGTTACCAAAAAATGCCTACACTCTAGTGGTTTACATTTGGGAAATCTTGTTTATAAGTAGGGTATGGTTTCATTGCAACATTGACTTTGTATACGCATGAAAAAGTAAGATATGGGACATCAGTAAGAGTTACCAAAATTTTCCAAGACTCGCAGTGATTCACATTTTAGAATTCTTCTTTACTAATAAGTTACAACTCCGTTGCAACTTCCAGCATACTAAAATGAGCAATTCCTAAAACTTCTTCCCAATTTTTTAATTTTTCTTTATTCAAAAGAAAAAAAATAAATATTGAATTCAGAGCGGACATCGATCTAATAAGGTACAGGTTCTTAGGAGAAGATTGGGGAAACAAGGTAGGCAACGAAAATGCTAGATTTAT